ATATAACCTCGAAAAAGTTGTCTATCCCACTAATATTTTTCGGTGCGTTCTTTATACCACGTAGCTATAGTGGCGCCACCCTTATATAACGGTTTTATATGGAAACTTTTTAATACACAGTCTGTACTCCTTACTTCTACACTCCATAATATTAAAGCAAGTTCGTGTTAAAAAGTATTATGGTTTTTAAAAGATGGCGGTACCTTATCGTATACGTTAGATTTTTTTAGAATAGGCGTGATAAACCAGGTTACAGTCCAGATGACGGTAAGAGGAAGCTGTGACCAATAGGCATCTATTCTCAATTAAGAATGAAAATGTAGATGCATCATTTCCAGTAAAAAGGGTCTCCGGTTCTCTACACTCGCCATACGAAACATACCAACATTGCTATTATACGCTGGTTTTTTTTCTGTGAAAGCGTGGTTCTACCCCAGTTGAACCGACCCATACATGCTAAAATTCATGCAAAAATAATCAGATGTAAATTATGTAGACCGGCGACGGGCAGCAGACTCAAAGGTGAATGATGTCAGGGTGTGAACCGCAAACTCAAAAGGTCATCATTGTCGAATCCGCTCTTCGACAACTGTCGTGAACCACTCCTTACATAAGCATTTTCAGCTTACCATTTATTTAGGCTTTATTCGCACAGCAAGTATAAAAAGGTGGACTTAATGCAACAAAGCATTCTTTACCAGTCTACCTTCAGGCTAAGCAGAGAAGATATTATGAGTGCAAAGTTGCAAGCAACTACGTTAAAATATCTATCTATCACATAAATATGTTCGAGTATGTATAAAAACCGTAAGTACATACTTACGGTTATTATACATAAACACATATAAACAGACATGTTTATAAAATTGTAAGTAATTTAAAATAGAGAAAAATAAATAAAAGCAGTCTGTGAACACGTACAGGATCGCCCCCGTCACTACATCAGATTTGATATACTACATATCCTCGCTAAAGAACACCGACTCCTTTAAAGGATGATTTGCGAGGCTATTGAAATCAACAATCATTCTAATTTCAATAGAGAAGATGACTGGGCGTTACGATCTGCTTGGGATCCTATCATTAATAAAATTAAAACCCAACCCAAGCATACAACTTCAAGATACTATAAGTACTGTGTAGATCGGGACAAAAACTTATAATTTTAATCTGAGGGTAACCGCGGTTAACTATGACATCTGGACTTTGAAAATCTGCCTTCCCGTGACTGTAGGTGCTGTAAAGTGCTCGAAACGTCAGGAATATATGGAAAAATTAAATATACGCGATAAAATCCGTAAAAAATTGAATTATTTAAATAAAGAAAAATAATTGATTCAGACTCGTAAAGAAATTCTAAAGTGTCAGACGTTTCATATCAATATTAAGTAAGTCTTCAAGGGTGCATTTGTCGTGTCTAAATATTTCCGTATATACACACGGGTTAATTTGGAGGTCATTTCCTTGATAACATCGTCTTGTAATATTCGTCTAGAGCGACAAAAATCGGTATCTTAAATACGCCATAGTCAGATATAAAGAGTAGTTTAGGCGATAAGTGTAGAAAAGAAGGCTCACAGTACATCTGATAGTAAGTGGTTACTACTCGTGAACCTCCTCAACATCTCGGGTTGGCTTAATGCTTTTAAAGGAAACCTAAAAAAAGAACACCGGTCAAACTACGATTGGGGAACATTGAGGCCGGAATAAAACCGAACATTTCCTTGGAGTTGTAAATACGATAAAAATACAAAGAGGCACAATTTCAGAGAGTTCACAAGGTCAGAGAGTTAAACCGATCAGAAAGGACATGGTCGTCCACGATTTAAGCAAGTTACATGCATTCAAATGAAAGGAGCTGGTACTGAGGTGCATCAGCCCAGAAATGAGAACAGTACTTATTCGTGAGACCCGCTCTACTAAGCAAGCTCTACTTAAAAGACAATTTAACCTTTCTTCCAAGTAACTGCGAAACTAAATTTCACTTATGTTAACACCGAGGATTCCAAAACAAACGGAGTGCCTTCAAAGTAAGAAGATACGAGAACCGGTTTTCTTTTTGTATTAACGTGCGAACCTTTATCTTCTGGTTTGAATTAATAAAGCACTAATTAACAATGTATGCAATATAAATTTTTGACTCTGAGTATCGGAGCCATAATTTACAATAAAGGACGAAATATTAATAACAACGGTGTTCTAACTACACACACATGGGTGGTGTGTGCGCATATATAGGAGGACTTTCAATTCTCACTCACATTGTCCGATGGGACGGAACCCTAAAAGAACGGAGAGAAATCAATCACAGGGGCAAGAGCTTTACGTTTTTAGTCAAACCAAAACTTAATGGCAAAGAAGTACCATTTTTCACGGAAGTTAAGTACTTGGGCGTAACAATCGACCAAAACTAACGTGGAACTCTCACCTTAGCAACGTCTACGTGCAGTGGTCCACGTTGTTTATAAGGCAAAAATTGTTTTAGGTACGTGCAGTCGTTTGGTCGGGAACAACTGGGGCTTGCGTCCCAGTATGGTCCTATGGCTGTACAGCAGCATGTAAGGCTCACCTACGCCTCTATTGTCTGGTGTAACAAGGCCAACCAAAAGACGACTGCGGGCAGACTAAATAGTCTACAAAGGACTGCCTGCCTAATGGCAACTGGAGCTATGCGATCATCGCCTGGAGCGGCTCTTAATGCACTTCTATGCCTAACGCCCCTTGATCTCTATCTAGACAAGGAGGCGAGGGTTAGTTTGTATAGAATTAACGCCCAGGGCGGTCTGAGCTTGCTCTCCTACAGATTGAGATCCATGCTCGACTCAATTAAGGAATCACCGGTCTTATGCATGATCTCAGATATCATGCGTCCACTATACACTTTTGATAAAAGTATATAGTGGAATTACCCTCCAGAGAAGACTGGCTGAATGGCCAGGTTATCTGTGAGGTCGGTAGCCTCATATGGTATACCGATGGGTCTAAAATGGGCCTCGACGTAGGCTTTGGAATTTACGGGGAACACCCCAAATTCAAACTTAGTATGAATTTGGATAGATACACCTCTATCTTTGGTGTGCGGAAATCAATCTGCAAAAACACTACGTCAACTATAAAATTTACATAAACTCTGATAGTCAAGCAGCATTGCTAGCGCTGAGATCAAACTTAGTGAACTCATAGCTAGTTGGAGACTGCGTGAACCGTTTAAACGCCCTGGGTTGTAACAACAGGGTCGTTTTAAGATGGGTTCCGGGTCACGAGGGTATTGTAGGCAACTAATTTGCCGACAAACTTGCACGGGAGGGCTCAAAGTGCACACAATTTGGACCCGAGCCATTTTGTGGAATCTCAAGAAGCCTAGCCCGATTGACCCTTGAAACTCTTTATTACAATAAATCACTTAAGATCTGGTCTGACACACCGGGCTTGAAACGTTCAAAAACCTTAATCCGGGCTTTTGATCGTAAATTCGCTTCAGAAGCCCTGGGATTAAGTAAAAATAAATTGCGCATTCTGGCAAGAGCCCTAACTGGACACTGTTGTCTTAAAAAGCACATATCCATCCTGGGACTAAGCAACTCAAGGATGTGTCGGTTCTGTTCTATAACGGAAGAAACGCCTCTACACATCCTAACCGATTGCGGACCCTTAATGCGCAAACGTAACACTCATCTGGGAAACTATCTACTCCGCCCAGAAGAAGTGAAATTGCTCACGGCTAAGCAACTCCTTCGATTCATTGAAGACATAGGGCTTAGCAGTGAACTATAGCCATAGCAGCGATCACAATAGATCTTCTAGGTCGCAGTGATACTGGTCTCTTTACCTAGACCTGCATAGCTGTTCGCACATAAAAAAGAGCTTTACGTGATATTCATAGTGCAGGGATGAACATTGAGATGAAAAACTTCCTGACTTCGGGCTGCTAGTAAGAGTTTCTAGGCAGAAAACCTAAGTAACTGATTCAGACTCAACCCGGGTTGGATTGCTGAACCACTCGTTAAGTAGTCGTGATTGCAACCACAAGAGCATCGAGGCAGGCAATGTAAACACAATACCAAACACAATAGACTACTGTAATATAGACTAGGTTAGCCTGAACAAAAACAAAACTTTCATAAGCATATTTGTCGAAAAAAAAAACATGAGGCTAATGCTATTATTTCTTAAATAAAAATTTAAGAAAAAAATTAAGCAAACACTTCTTTACAATGCTTATTACACAATTGATCATTTTAGAAGACAAGGATGTATAGCAATGCAATCATTTCTGCACTAGTGAGCAGTTGGCTTAACGCATTATAAAATTATAATTATTTTAGTGGTACTAATTAGTATTTAAAAAAGCAAGCCTTGTTTCCTGCCAGTTCTTATTTCGTTTCTCTAAAAAATAATATAAATAAAATATTTATAACTTTTTATAGAAGGGAGCAAACGATCATGCAGCTCAACTAGTTGTCACTTAGTTGTAAATGATCACTGCCGCACATAAACAACAATTGGACCATGAAACATCATAGGAATCGCAGGTGAGTTGTCGACCTATAAGACAGTGGTAGACTTCTTTAATGTACCTATTTCATACCGGAACCATTTCATACAAAGAAGGTACTAAATTCCACAAAATGGTCGTATCGACCAGGGCTACTGTTAGTGAGATTTTTTAATGTATTTACCATCATTGCAACGATTATTCATTTACTGTTCTTTTCCACCGTCTCTTACAGCCTATCAAAACTCCACCACTGTTCATAAGCCTCCCCCGTCGATTGTCTCATGGTGGGATCAGTTTTTATTATTTTGATTCGTTATCTGGAAGATGATGCCGCACATCTCCTGTTTTGTTTCTCTCTGTATCTCTCTCTCTCTCTCTCTCTTTGTGGTAATGAATTCTGTTACGCCGCCACTACACGGGTACACGGCGATTTATGTAAATATTATATAGAATTGCTTGCTGTGTGTAACTGTTTAGTTCGGTTTATACTTTATACACCTACCTTCGTAGAGGTTCTCGTCATCTTCGTTATGTTGCGCTGTGCTGATCTGACGGCACAGGTCCTCGTACTCCGCCCAATAGGCCGCGAGCGTCGTGGGGTCTGGCGCCCGCGGCTCCAGCGGCAGCGACATGCGGACCTCCGGAGACTCCTGGAGGAACAAGCCTCAATTATAGTTCATTGCTACAATACTGAACAGTTGAGATTAATAGGAAAATCATACCAATGGTACAGCTATAGGGTAAAATAATTTGCCAGCATCTTTCTATCTGATTAAGTACTATGTGGGTCTCCATGGAGTACTTTTTATACAATTGATTGCGTCTAGAGAATATGCTTCTGTTAAGATATTAACATAAGCTTTACTACCTTCGGGTACAACACCACTATTCATCTGGTTGGATTGTAGACAAATAAGTTTTTAACAATCTTTAAGATTTTACTGTCGACTAAATAATTGATAGAATCAGGCGTTACTTTGCGGAAATCCATTATAATAAAAAATAAAAATATAAATTTCTTCGCAACCTTCCGCTAAATAAATACAATGATGTGTCTTACCTGGATTGAAGAACACCTCCCGCCCTCCCTCAATTGCATGCACTAACTCCGTCACCACTAGTCCATGGTAATGTAGACTCTACGGCGGCTGACCGCTAAGAGGTCAGCCGCCGTAGAGTCTACATTACCTGAAGATGCCTCCTGTAGAGGCAAAACACGTGTCGTATTATCGTCGATGGTGTGTCTTACCTGGAATAGTGGTGTTGGGAGTAGTAGTGCTGGGACTAGTGGTAACGCAGTTAGTGCATGCAATTGAGGGAGGGCGGGAGGTGCTCTTCAATCCAGGTAAGACACATCATTGTATTCATTTAGCGGAAGGTTGCGAAGAATTTAATATTTTTATTTTTTATTGTCGACTAAATATTTATTTCCAAGAGAATGAGACTCTTCCGCATCAAATTAATATGAGAAGGCCAAGCTTGCAAACAGAGAGTCTCTGACCAAATAAAAACAATAATATATTCATCTTATTTCGACGTAAGAGTGGACAAGCCAGCTCACGATCTACTCATCTACCGGTCCCATCCCCATCACCCTTACCATCGTAAGTGGCTATACATGCAGCATAAGCACACATGCAACCAACTTCGAATAAAGAATTCTAAAGAAGCCGTAACTCGTGAGAACTAATACAGAAAACCACACAGCCTGGTTTTATACTGGCTTTCAATACCCTTTAGACCTAAACACAGCAGTGTACGTATTGCTACCTAGCGACGTGGGAGTGTTGTTCCTATCCAGTTGATCTCCCAGGCAGAAATGGATCCCATCGGCAATAAATAACAATTACCTTCAAGAATATACTAACTAGACAACGTATACGTGGTAGAGCCACGCTGCAGCTATATTATGGTTGTAGCACGAAAGGGTCGGCTCGACCGGTGAAGGATACAGAATACCAGCGTAAAATAGGAGCTTAATACTGCTGTGTTTCGTATGGTGAGTGTAGAGATCCGGAGACCCGTTTTACTGGAATCGAGGCAATCCACCTTAGTCCTCAGGGGCGGCAATGCATCTGCATTTCGATTCTTAATCGAGGTTAAATGTAGATATTAATGGACCACAGGATCCACTTACCATCAGGTGGACTGTGTGCTCGTTTATCACCTTCATTCTATAAAAAAAACTAACTAGACAACGATAAGCATCTAGTCTCAGAATTAAATAAACAATAGTTTTAAGTGGCCCGAAAACGCCGGATTTACGAAATTATTCATTACTTTAGGCTTGCAAAATACAGAGGACAATGCTATTTCGATATGACATCTGCTAATTGCATTTTTATGCAATTGGCTTGCCATTATACAGCGTGTATGTCAGCAGTTCATATATTTACTTAACACATGCTTGTCTGTTTTTTTTTTAAATTTAAATCCTTAAATATTTTATTGTGAAAACTCTTTCACTACTTTTTCTCAGAACTTCCTCTTTTTAAAGAAACAGTGCAGTGGTGAAAAATGAGCACACAATCCATCTGATAGTAGAATGGATGCTGTAGCTACGTGGTACGTGCTACGTATTTCCTCGGTTAAGATACAGATTAAGATGCAAAATGCAGATATGTTGTCACTACTCAAGACTAAAATGGAATACCTCGTTACCAGTAGAAACAGATTCAGACTTCGTCACGGACCATACGAATGAAAACTGTGAAGAGCTATGCTACTTTTTCAAGCCTCGAGCTTACCCTAATTTGCTTGTTTAAAATTACCTCGTAATTGAGGTAATTGAATTTTAAATAAGCAAATTGTTTATCACCAAGGATTAATCTTCGTATACGTTTGCCGACGAACCTTTATGTATTAACGTGTCATTTTTCTAAGAAATGTTAAATGAGATAATAGACGTGCCTTAAAATAATTTTGACTTCGTGATTATTTGCAAAATAATAATACTAAATACTATTGACTCAAAATTCTTTATTTACTACAAAATTAATAAAGAGTTTAGAGTTGAGATCTTTATTATAATATATTGCAAAATACATGTTATATATATATATATATATATATATATATATATATATATATATATATATATATATATATATATATACTAGCTTGCCAGGCAGACGTTGTTCTGCCCTTTTCGACGATCCTTTTTCATACCCTATTAAAAATCCTTAAATTAGCAAAAAAATTGTGGTTCACTTATGGGCAAAAAACTATCCTATCTCTCAAGTTGGGTGAAACTACACACGGTGTGCAAATTTGATCGAAATCGGTTAAGTAGTTTAGGAGTCCATCGCGGACAAACAACTTGACACGTAATATATATATATATATATATTTTTTTTTTTTTTTTTTTTTATATATATATATATATATAACTACTCAACCGATTTCAATCAAATTTGCACACCGTGTGTAGTTGCACCCAACTTGAGAGATAGGATAGTTTTTTTTGCCCATAAGTGACCAACAATTTCTTTGCTAATTTAAGGATTTTTAATAGGGTATGACAATGGGTCGTCGAAAAGCGCAGAACAACGTCTGCCTGGCAAGCTAGTATATATATATATATATATATATATATATATATATATATATATATATATATATATATATATACATAAAAAATGTTTCAGTTATACGCTTAATTCAAATTTAAGCAACATTAGTGTGACTTCTGTTGCAGATTAGATGACAAACAACTTATATTGGGGTTGTAAAATCATAAATATAACACAAATGATTTTTTTAATTACAGTTGTGTCAACGAAATTAACTATTATGCTATGCGTATACGAACAATGCATTCCTTGGGTAAGGCGAGGACTAGTGGCAATGGCTGTGATGATGATGACGATGATGAAACAAACTATGTGTCATTAGCAATGTTAGTCCACGATGTAACTACGATCACTCGCGTTCGTTCGTAATATAATACTTCATAGTGAATTTTGCGATCGGTGGCGTGCCCAAAATATTGTATAGCGTGCCATCGATGACACGCGTGCCATTGCTTCACCAATCCTGAGCTAGAGGCTTGAAATTTTGAACATAGTTCAGAGTCTGATGACAATGTAAGATTATGAAAAAACCTTAATACACAATTTTGAAGTTATACTTTGTATTTAAACCCTTGTTTTAATTTACTTAATACAATACTTTCTTTTAGAAGGACAATTATCAAGTTTCTAAAAATTCACGTTTATATCGGGGCATGTTTGTTAAAGTTCTACTTAATACGGGGTAGTAGATTTTCTTATACCACCACTACACGCTATTACACGGATGGTGGTGGATTTGTGATGGGCTATAATAAAAAGCCATGCTATATAAAAGAAAATTAGTTATTGTAAGCCTGTGAGTCTCGTTAATTAATGGGGTTGAGTAAGTCAGCTCAAATTCTAATTTCGTCCCCACTTCCCCGCGCGTCGTATGCTATGTACCGACATGTTTTTATTCACTAATACTGTAAGTAGAAAGGTCGGTAGACACTTATTTCAATAGGTTTATCATATTTATGCCTGTTTCTTAACGCCAAGCCAGTCGCTTCTTATTTTTATTACGGTTATTTCCCATTTTAATTTTACGTGTCTTGTTGCGTAATGTATATTCTGATCGTAAGCGGCACAACCTCCCCCCTTCAAAGGCCGAAGCGAAGTGACCGCCGGGCGGCAGGAATGGAATCACGCTTCAAGAGGCCGATAGTTTAGGTAATTTCTTTTACAGTGAAAATAATGGTATTTTAAAAAAATTAAATAACATAAGCACTGCTTTATAGTTAGTTCAGTTAGTATGCAAAGTTTCAAGATCTTATTTAAAGTATTTTATGAAAAACAGCGGTTTATTGTTTATTTTGGAGGTAACTTTGGATTTTTTCTATCGAGAAAATTTTACGAAATCGTGTTTTCGTCTAACATAATCCTTAACATTAAGCCTCAACTTTACCATATATTTGTTTCAAAATTAATGCTGCAATATTTTCGGCATAACGAAGTATCTTGCTAAGCCATTTGAGATTATATTTCCCCTTAAGCCAAAGATAGAATTTTTAGCCAACGATATATTCATGTAGCGCAATTATATTTTTATGATGGTGCTATATTATGGTTGTAGCACGAATGGTTCGACTCGACCATGAAAGGACCACGCTCTTACAGAATGCGTGTAGGTTGGAAATGCTAAACATTACAACTCTGTGATATTTTGGTTCTTAACTATCAAAGGCCAAAAGTCTTAAAAGGATTATTATATATTTTGCATTGTGTGCAGATGAGGTTGACATTTAAAAAAAACATACGGTAATTATAGATAGTAATATTTATACCATACGTATGTTGTCCGATATCATAAACAGCAAAGAGAATGGTCGGCCGCACCTATAATATCTAGACGTGATCTCCGCACCGCCATTAGCAAATAACGCGTGACAAGGTCATAAAGACGCGTAATTCCGCCATAATTTGGACGCTCATCAAATAAACTTTAAGGTTCATTCTGCACGAGTCACAGGAGGGTATCCTAATTTGAATTATGGCGTAGAAAGCTTCAGAGGTGTTTCGGTGGGCAAGGTAAAGAGAAGAATTGCGCTTAATGTCACTTATGAATAAATTAGGACCGGAACACATCGGGGATTTCTGTT